GGACGCTTAACCGACTGCGCCACCCAGGCGCCCCTACACATATTATTTTAAACTATAATTAATAGTTGTTTACAACCAGACTTTTAGTTTGCAAGATTATAATGACCAATTATTATAGGGAAAAAACCCTGAAAAGAATATGTCTCTTATACAGCTTTCGTTGAACAAATTAGTACAAATACGTATACTTATCCTCCCCTAATTTTTTTCTGAAGATAGAAAATACTTTTTAAAGTTTCTTAAATTAACTTAGCTACAGAAAACACTCTTTTAATTGGCAGCTTCCAAGATAGCATACATAATACGTGAGTCATTTAAAATTTCAGTTCTTATCGTAAGTGAAAATATGAGTTTGAATTTTCAAATTCTTCACCAATTAATCATTATTTAAGGCAAGACTTTCTGGAGCTGAAAACTTGTTTTGCAAACACCACTGTGAAATATCTGTGATTATCATGCCGCAAAAATTACCTTCGACATTTCTGAACAATCCTATCCAAAAATTGGTTTTGCTTTGAAGTGGCTCAACTCGATATGACAGAAAACTTGACTCAGCAGCACTTTCAATGGAAACCAAAGAAGAGCCTGCAATGTAGAAACACACACACACAATGATGGAACTATAGTTAAGCAGCTAAAAATATTTTTGTAATGACAGTATTGATCTTAGAAGTAATAAAAATCACCCCGACTTCTCCACTTAAGGGACAGAATTTCAAAGAACGGACATTTGACTTCTAAGAATTTCAGTTTCTATTCTGCAAATATGATGGTTTAAGCATCATGTGCGTTACAAACACCGAATGAGTTGCTGAAGGACATGAGAAGATGAGTAATACAATGCGTCTTTTCTTTTTGAAAACCCTGCTTTAATGTTTCAGGGGCACATCAAGCTCAACGTGTGCAAAACAAAACTCATAAAATCCTTTCCTAGAAATCTTATTCCTCCTTAACTGTTTCTATGTCGGTACGTAGCGTCATCATCTTCCCATTTGCTCGAGCCTGAACCTGAGAATCACTCTTGGCTTCCACCCTTTCCAACACCAATGCCTAATCTTATTGATTTTACTCTGTCAGTCACGTCTGTCTGCTGTTAGTCCATAACTGGAGGCCTGTATCTCTCTCTCTCTCTCTCTCTCTCTCTCTCTCTCTCTCTCTCTCTCCCTCCTTCGCCCATTTTGCCCAACCTTCTACCTCCCTCCCCTCTGGCAGCCGTCAGTTTGTTCTCTGTATTTATAATTCTGATTCTGCTATTTGTTTACTTATTCTTTTTTTTAATCCCATTTCTGCATAGGATAATATGGTATTTATCTTTCTTTAAATTATTTCACTTGGCAAAATGCCCTCTAGGTCCATCCATGTTGTCTCAAAAAAAGCACAATCTCATCCTTCTTATGGCTGTGAAATATTCCACTGTGTGTGTGTGTGTGTGTGTGTGTGTGTGTGTGTGTACCACATTCTCCTTATCCACTCATCTACTGGACACTTCCACATCTTGATTATTATAAATAATGCTGCAAACAACATAAGGGTGCATATATCTTTTTGAGGTAGTGTTTTTGTTTTCCCTGGGTAAATACCAAATAGTGGAATTATTGGCTGATATGGCACTTCTATTATTAATTTTTTAAGGAATTTCCATACTGTTTTCCATAGTGGCTGTAGCTATTTGCATTCCCACCAACAGCACGTGCGGGTTCCTTTTCCTCTACATCTTTGCCAACACTTGTTATTTCTTTTCTTTTTGATTTTAGTCATTCTGACAGGTTTTGGCCATTCGCCATGTCATTATGGTTTTGATTTTTATTTCCACAATGATGAGTGACGTTGAGCATCTTTTCATGTGTTGCTGGCCATCTGCATGTCTTCTTTGGAAAAGATGTCTATTCAGGTTTTCATAGAGTGTGTCTCAACAAGGTTATGGTTCAGGAGACATTATAGACAGATAGACAGATGCATTAGAAGAGAAAATAAGTACAATATGTAACTGACATGTCAAACCGAAGGTTTGTTTTAGGTGAAACAACCAAAGGGGAACATGGAAAAATAGAATTCAATCTGTAAGAAGCATAGGATTTCAAGTAGAAAGAATAGAAAATCATTCCAAGAAGAGAAGGAATAAGAGAAAAGACAGGGAGGGAAGCATAGTGCTTACTCAGGAACATGGCGCACAGGTACATGGACTCTCCCATGTTTGGTTTGTGGTGAGACGAGTTAGACAAAGGATAGACGGATAGATAGATTTATCTACTGGGAGGAGCCTAGAGTGCTAATAGATGGCTCCGTTTGGCCGGCCTAATCTGACCAACAGGTGAAAAAAAGACTTGGGTTGGGCCTCACTGCAGATGGCAAGAGATTGGTATTTAGGGTGGTGATAAAGAACACTTGGGTTTTTTTTCAGGCAGCAGAATGATGCAGTGCCCTAGAGGAGTACTGACCCTCTAGGTATGGGATTGTAGAAAGTAAAATGAGATAGGAAACTGACAGACTGGTTAGATTACTATGGCACCAACACCTTACACTACATTAGGGTTGACTCAGCGTCAGCATTAGAGTTTATAGTAAAATACTATAGCTTTCTAATAATAACCACTAATATATTTTAAGTACTCCATGCCAGACATTTTGCCTTGTGCTTTACCAGTATGATCTCCCTAAACTTTTACAACAACCGTATCAAATGAGCACTACCCCCTCTTTATAGATAAGGAACCAAAAGTACAGAAGCTAAGTAATTTGTCAAGATCCTGAAGATAGGAGAGGGTAGGGTCATGGCATGATCCAGGCCTTCTGGATCTCAAAAACCTACACTTAGCCGTGTGCCTGCATCCCATGTTACTGGGTCCTGGATTATCCCCTTGATTAGTGTTTTTATTTCACAGTCACATATTCCATGGTTTCATATATTTCAGGGATGATAACCATTTCGAAATATTTAGGACATATTTTGGTAAGTGAAAGTCATTCATTTTATTTACAGGAAAATGCAGTCCTCTAAAATTGGAAACAAAGTTTCTCCATCTTCATTGCAATTTTAAAATTTCATTACTTATGTATTTATGTATGTATGTATTTATTTTTAAATACTTATTTATTTTTGAGAGAGAGAGAGAGAGAGAGAGAGAGAGAGAGAGAGAAAGTATCCACGGCAATCCTCTACAAAAGCAGTAAGAACACTGACAAATTTCGGAACCGTAAAGATTAATAAACAGCGTGTAACAATCCAGCGATACTTATCTTAAAAAATTCAGTTTTTGTGTTAAGAGTGAACTTCATGATGTTTTAACTTGTTCTAATTTCACTGCATTACCCTCAGCTCTCTGTTCACCTTAAAAACGAACAGCTCCCAAATCACAGTGAAAACTAGCAGCCTAGAAACCACTAGAATAATCAGAATGGCGGTGGAGCTCTTGTGAAGTCCCACTTCAAAGAATTTCCGTTATTTTATCTCTCTGACAGTTCCCTGGAAAGTCTGACTTGCAAAGCTTTGGCTTTATTTGCCCCAATTCAGAGCTCTTCCAAATGTAAAGGGTCTTGTCTCTGAAGGTGTTCATGCAATTATCTAACATCACAGGTGCCTGAGGCAGGGATAACAGTTGAAGAAAAAAGAATAACAAAACAGCAGCAACAACAACAACAACAACAAAAGCTTAAAAGGAAAAATGGGAATAAGATGTCCATAGTGAGCTCCAAAAAGCTTTGATCCATTCTTGAAACTCTAGAAGGCCACAGACATGCACTGGGGCGTGTACATGTGCATATTTACAAAAAATCTGAGAGATTTCTAAGCTCTCACTCTGGCTAACCTTGAGGATCTGCAAGAAGGAAGTGAGCACTAAGGCAGAGTTGTTGGGGGTTTTTGTTTGTTTCAGAGACAGAGTGTGCTGAGTTGGGGAGAGGGGCGGAGGGAGAGAAAATCCTTAGCAGGTTTCATGCTGAGTGACACAGGAGTCCATCCCACGACCCTGGGATCATGACTCAAGCCAAAATCAAGAGTCAGATGCTCAACCAAATAAGCCACCCAGGCGCCCCACTAAGGCAGAGTTGTCAACTATTGTATGAGTGTGGAAGCTGTCATTAGCTGACCCCCTGAACTAACTAAGCAGTAACTACCATGATGACACATGAAAAAGAATATAAACTTTACAAAAATAGTTAAGGAAAATCACTGAACAAGAAAAAAAAAAAAACAGCAAAAACAACACACTCTGTGGAATGGAAAGAACCTTATTTCCAGAGTTGTACATCATATTGTTTAAAATGTCTAATTTTCAACAAAAAACATCACAGGAAATGCAAAAAAAAAAACCAAGAAAGTATGGCCCATACGCAAGACAAGGAGTAAATACCAACTGTTCCCGAGAAAGTCACACCTTCGACTTACCAAAGACCAAATCATCTATGTTAAAGAACTAAAGGAAAACATGGCTAAAGTATGAAAAAAGAGTATGAGATACGTCTCACTAAGTAGAGGATATCGAGAGAGAGATACAAATTATTTCTTAAAATTCTGGAGTTGAAAATTATAATGATTGAAAGGAAAAATTCACTGGAGTAGCTTAACAGCAGATTTGATTAAGCAAAAGAAGTAACCACAAAAACACGAAAATAGGTAAGTTGAAATTATCGCATCTGAATAATGGAGGAAAGATAAGAAAAATTTACAGAGCCTCAGAGATTTGTGGGACGTCACCAATTAGATCAAAATATACATAATGGATGTCCAAGAAGGAAAAGAAAGAGAAATGGGCAAAAAGAATACTTGAAGGAATAATGGCCCCCAAAATTCTGAAATTTGATGAAAAACATTAATGTATGCATCTAGCAAGCTCCACATCTATCCGAGCTCCAAGTAAGATAACCGCAAGGAAATCCACATCCCCAAGAAACTGTCAAAAGATAGAGATTTTAAAATCAGCAAGAGAGAAGTGACTCATCATGTACAAGAGATCCTCCCGAGAATTGACAGTGATTTCTCAACAGAAACCATGGAGGTCAGAAGGCAATGCATGACACTCTAGATAACTCAGAATGACAATCCTAACAATTCAGAATATTAGAGCAGGATGCCTGGGTAGCTCGGTCAGTTAAGTGTCTGATGCTTGATTTCAGCTCAGGTCACCATCTCCTGGTTGTGGGATCAAGCCCCACATTGGCCTCCATGCTAAGCTGTCTGCCCCTCCCCTCTCTTTCTCAAAATAAATAAATATACATTAAAAAAAAAAAACTACAGAACAAAAGAATACTAGGGCAGAAAGTGAGAAAGACTTATTCAGCAAATGATTGTTTTTCTACTGTAATTCTTTAAAATTTTGAGGCTGTAATGTTATAAATTACATTGGGGAGGCATGATGTGGACCATCCTGTCACAACAGAAATTAACAAGAAGAATAAGCTGGTGTGTTTACATTCCACAGGATTTTAATGTACAGTGTTTTTAAGTACCATGGTAATCCGGACTAGGTGATTAGGAGATTTTTCTTACAGTAAACGTGGCACCTACCCATTCGGAGACATTCCAGAGAAGCCTGGCCCCAGTTTCTTGTGTATGAAGATTCGATATAGTAGCAGTGACCATGGAAGGGAATCCATGCTGTGTGCTCAGACTCTGGGCACCTGCCAGGCAGTTGTGGAGGTTCGGTGGCAGGGATTTCTGTTAATAAAAAGACATTTAAAACAAAGTGAAGCATGAAGTTTCTCTACTATGTAGAATAAAAGATTAGCAGCTCAGGAAAATTTCATCACCCATCACCATTTTTTTTTTTTTTTTTCAACGTTCATTTATTTTTGGGACAGAGAGAGACAGAGCATGAACGGGGGAGGGGCAGAGAGAGAGGGAGACACAGAATCGGAAACAGGCTCCAGGCTCTGAGCCATCAGCCCAGAGCCTGACGCGGGGCTCGAACTCCGGGACCGCGAGATCGTGACCTGGCTGAAGTCGGACGCTTAACCGACTGCGCCACCCAGGCGCCCCTCCATTTTTTAAAAAAGTTCTAACGGTAATCATTTGGATCCGCCATTTTTGTTATTGGGTGTTCTTTTTAGTGATCTTTTTCTTTTCTTCATTTTAAATGTATTTCAGAAGACCCTACTCTGGTAGAATAGAAATCAATTGCCATCATCATGAAGAATGCAGATCTATAAATATTTACAAAGGTGTTAAGTTCCTAAAAAAGTTACCAAAAAATAATTTGCAAAGGGAGTCCCCCTTCACTGTATTCTAGGAAAATTATCACCTTCATATCACTGACTCTCATTAATCGATATGTAGTCTGATAAAATTATATTGATACAGATGTGCTGTCGACATAAAAACCAGTCATAATTGCCTGACAAATCTGACATCACATAATCTCAAAAATAAAAATTCAAAAGTTTATAAAGTGCAAATAAACTCTAGCCATGAAGAAAATTTTCTGTCCCCATTATTTGGATCTATGTATATTTGCTTATTATCAAGTTAGTCTTCTGTTATGTGAAGGAAGATGTTTTATTATCTTGCTCTTTAAAGCTATTTTTTTAAGGTTTATTTCTTTACTTTGAGAGAGACAGACACAGCGAGAGTCAGGGAGGGGCACAAAGAGAGAGAGAGAGAGGGAGAGAGAATCCCAAGCAGGCTCCACACGGCCAGCACAGAGCCCAATGCGGGGCTTGAACCCATGAAGCCTTGGGATCATGACCTGAGCCACATCCAAGAGCCAATGCTTAGCCAACTGAGCCAGCCAGGTGCCCCTTATTATTTTATTAAGTTAACCAGGAGACGTTACTGTTTAATAATGTCAAAAGTCATGTGTATTCACTTATTGAGGAAATTTCAAATCCCTTGATTGTTTTTGTGTACTCAATTACCATCCGATCTTTTGCAGAGAAAATAAAAACTTTCATTGCAATGTGCTGTCTTCCAGGAGCCATCGAGATCCATGTAAACACATGCTGATTTCAGTCTGGGCTCATCAGCAGCCCAGTTAGTGTACCTCATCCTCCATTTATCAGTCCAAGCGTACTCATTATTGGTCTGCAAAGACGAAAACAACAATTAACGTGCAGTCTTGCTTCATTTAGAAAACACCGAAAGAACCAAGTGAGGAGTAAAAGTATATTTTAGACTGTGATTTGACAAACAATCTTCAACATTTGGGAATAAATCGTTCCTACCAACTGAAATTCAGTAGAGAGAGCCCTTTCTTTTAGAGGGACTCTTGGAGTTCCCCACAAATACATCCTTGAAAGCGAATTTGAAAAACACTGACTTAAAAACCTATGTCTTATTCTATGAAATGTTTTATTTGCAGGTTTTCAGGGTGAAATACAAATTTTGTCTTCAGGACCAATAAAATATTTATTATATCAACACTAAAATGACAATAAAATTAAGTAATTTTCATTGAATTTGTAGACCTTGGAGAGAAACACTAATCTCTTCTAATCGCCTCATTGTTCAGCTGTTGAAAAAGCACACGTGACAAATGACTTAGGCAAGATCCGACAGATAACAGAGGAGCCTAGGTGCCACGCTTTCCAGGGAGATGGTCTTTCAACTATAACAAATACTTCTGGGTATTTTTTAAAAAGCAGATTGTTCTTTTCAACTTGCACACTTAACTTCTTACTGAATTTAGTGGAACAAAATTTATTGACCACATTAATTAATTAACCACATCAAATTATTTAACCACATCAAAAACAGTACTTATCAATAATATCCTTTGACCAGTCTAAAAGATTTGACAGGCAATGTCTAACAACAGATGATATATAATATTAATGAAATAAATGAATTCTGAAACCGAACCATGGGTCCCATTTTAACTGCATTATTTAATTTCCCAAGCCAATTACCAAAGATTTAACGACAAAATCAAAACCATGTATTACCTCAAGTTGGAATTTTGTAGTATTCTACCACATTTAATCAAATAATGCTTACGTTGTCCTTAATTCTATAGATGTAAGGAAGATAATAGTACTGTTTTCGTTATAAATGTCGGTATAGTGGAAAAGCTACTTAATCCTTCTAAAAATAATAAAACCTTATGTTAAACTCATGAAAGAATTGTGACCCTGTGCGTAAGAAGGGAATGAGTGAACTAACAAGCAAATTAATTACTAAAAAATAGAGTCAACACAGACATAAAAATGTCTTGCCTAAGTTTACTCACAGAAATCAGCATGGAACTACTTACTTTTAAGTATTCACTTCCCTACTTAGGAAATACTCTTCGCATGAAGTGTGTATTTTGATCTCTGTAGCGCAGCATTAGGAAATCTACAAAATCTGACGCCAACCTACTTTCCAGTTTTATCTCTTTCCGTCCATTTCTCTCTTCCTGGTACCCCCTTCCTTATGTTCCACCATCCCAGGCCACATCAAAAAAGTTTGCTTTCTCAGAGAAACCTGCTTGGCCCTCTCCCCTGATTCAACTGATCCCTTTTCTCTCTTGCAGCACTTTTAGATACCTCTCTTTAACATTTCTGGCTTTGTCTCCTAGTAACGTGTTGACATTTCTATTTCTTCTACTAGGAAGTTTGCTGGTTGACTAGCTAAATGGATGAAGATAGACGGATCACAGGGGCGCCTGGGTGGCTCAGTCGGGTGAGCGTCCAACTTTGGCTCAGGTCATGATCTCATAGTTCGTGGGTTCGAGCTCCGCATCGGGCTCTGTGCTGATGGCTCAGAGCCTGGAGCCTGCTTCGGATTCTATGTCTCCCTCTCTCTCTCTGCCCCTCCCCCACTTGTGCTCTGTATCTCTCTCTCTCTCAAAAATAAACATCAAAAAAAAAAAAAAGACAGATGCATCAGAGGGCATCAGGGAAGACTCATTTTAGGAATATTTTAGCAACTCCATCACCACTCTTAGTTCTGTGTCCCCCACCCCAATTCTCTGCCACTGGCAACCTGCCTTTTTCTATTATGGAATAAAAGAAACGACTGCAGTGATGTTCTTCGCACAGGGACAGAAGCTTCACAACTTCAGGACTCACAACTCTAGAATGACTGGCCACAAAAAAAAAAAAATAAAAAGTGTCCTCATTACCCAGGAACCATGCCCCTGATCGGCTTTCTTGATTCCCATGGTATAGCTGTAAGCATGACACTCTAGAGAGAAATAAGTTAATACATGAGAGTGTTGAGCTGCAGAATCTAATTTTAATATTCAAAAGCAGTGTGAAAGTTAATCTAAGTTATGTAAATTTAATTTGATCTCTGACATATATCACTAGCTTGCTAGATCCTTGAAGGCACTGGATCCTTGAAAGATGAGGTCTAGTTTATGTTAGTATCATTCACATTGCCCAGCACAGTGTCTTACATTTAATGAGTGCTCAGCAGAATGAACAGAAAGAGAATCCTGTTTCATCACAATTTATAAATCGTGTCGAGTTGCGCATGTTTCCAGCATCTTACCAAGTTACTGTTCAGGGCGATCCACACGGGTTCGTTAACTTTTTGTATTTGCATAAATGCAAATGCATTACTATAGGGGTCCAGAATGCTAGCAATAAGGGAAGTGTGGAGCTTGCAATAATTTTCCGCCTCTTGCCACTGTAACTTTAATTTCATGAGTGAATAGTTACTTTCACCATATTTAATAAAGCCATCTGTTGGAATTGTTGTTGGAGAACCAGGCAAGGAAGAGTCTGGAAGAAAAATATTATCTTTCATTAGCATTATCAATAAGCATTACTTAGAGTGTCAATGATATACTATATCTATTACCATATCTCATTCCATTATAAAAACAATCAGAATAGCATAAATCCAAACCATCAGGTGTTAAAAATATTTCCTAAGCCATTTCACACCAAAAACCAAAGCTCTGATTTTTAATCAGTATGCCTGGTTAACTTAAATAATTTCCAAACTGCATCCAGATCATTAATATAGATATGTAAGCAAGTTTCTAAATTAAAAAAAAAAGGCTCGTAAATTCAACGATATGTAGAATCTGAGCAGAAGAAATGACACAGTTTAATCCCATAAATTAAAGAGTATATATCATCCTGTCATTACTAATTTTTACTTTACCATCTTGGTCAAATTTCAAGGTCATCAACAATCTTCCTTCCCCTCCTCCATCTGTCCCACCCTATCCATGAATTTGCATCTATGTGTGTCTATTTGGCTCCACCCGTTAGTAAGGCACCTTCAAGAGACTGATTTAAGTTCTGGCACGAAGCCAGATACTAGTCCCCGGTTCATTTAACCCCTATCACACCATCATGCTTTATCCCTACTGATGATTGCCTACGCCCTTCACCCAGGCACCCCCATGCCTTGACCAAACTGACTCAGTGGCTGGAGTTCTTCTAAGCCACAGTCACTCTGGCTTTCTGAAGCTTTTTCCTCAGTCTTCCAGCATGGATTTCTAAATGTTGTTGTTGTTTTTAATGTTTATTTATTTTTGAGAGAGAAGGAGAGAGCAGGAGAGAGGCAGAGAGAGAGGGAGACAGAGAATCCCAAGCAGGCTCTGAGCTGTAAGCACAGAGCCGGACAGAGGGCTCAACCCTATGAACCATGAGATAACGACCTGAGCCAAAATCGAGAGTCAGATGCTTAACTGACTGAGCCACCCAGGGGCCCTTCCCAGCATGGATTTCTAATCGCTGTTTTAGGCCAACCTATCCTTTGTGCCACTTACTGTATAGACTCCCCCAAAGAGCTTCTTTTTGTGTCCCCTAACAGATGCCCTAGAGTTAGAGGTTAGCAAATGTCAGCCTGTTGTCTGTTTCTGTAGCCTATGAGCTAAGAATGGCTTTTAAATGGTTGACAAATTAAAAAAAAAAAAAAATCGAAGAATAATATTTTGTGACATGTAAACATTATATGAAATTCAGATTTGTATCCACAAATAAAGTTTTATTGGAACACAGTTATGTTCATTTGTTTACATGTTGTCTATGATCGCCCAATATCACGGCAGAATGCTAGCAACAGAGAATGGATGTTTACAGCCTAAAATATTTACAATCTGTCTCTTTACAGAAAGCAAAAATTTGTCAACCCCTGGCCTAGGGTTCTAGATGTCCTTGCCTACCAATTTTGTCTTGGCTAAATCTCAGATGTGTTCCACTGTATACCAACCTAATCCACCATCTGTCTTGTCCCGTCGCTATACAAATGCCGAACGTTCTTTTGATTACGCCTGGTATGGTGACAACTTTGTATCAGCAAGGGCAGTTTCCCCTTTCTTCTGCTGTTGCTGCCACCTTGTGTTGGTAAAAGAATATCCTTAAACCAAGCGACCCAGGCCAGCACCCTCCAATGGTACAGAGACTGAACAATCTTACTGTTTCCCAACTTGGGGAGGTCTGGGTTTGTCTTTACAGCACCAGAAAATCGTAGGACCACTAAAAGTGGCAAATGAGGCTCGAGGGCAAGCTGAAAAAAAGTTTCGTGGCGGAATGTATGCAGCTAGGAAACAGCTCATCTGTCCAACTTGCTTGTTTATGAAAACATTCATAAAACAATTATAAGGGAAAACTAAAATATTGAGAGGTTATTTTTAGGTGGTTGGATTGTGGGGAATTTTTTTCCCTTCTTTATGCCTTTCTGCATTTTCTAAATGTCAACAAAGAACAGGTGTTATGTGTTTTTTAAAACAGTGGGTTTTTGTTCATATATATGAATATACGTATGCATAAAAACATGAATGTATATGTGAATAGGATTATAAATATTTTCTATTTTTTTAATAAGTTTTTATTGGGGGCAAATAGTCTATCACTTATGCTTATAAGAAGAAGAAAAAAATTGTTAAAAAGCTTGTAAACCGTCATTCACTCCTGGAAGGACAGTCCCTCCTTTCCTCGACACACAGACACAGATGGCATGTTTGGCATTTCTCGTGGCCCAAGATTCTGGTGCCATAAGGACACAGTGGAGAGAGAAAAGCTCTTGAATTAATGAACGCTTAGGATTCCTGCGGTACTTTCCAGTCATCTGAAAATATCTTAAGTGATTTTCACTCATTGCCATGAGCTGGTCTGAGTTCCCTGATCCCCCAGAAAGTGTGGAAAAATCCATCTGATGTAGGAGAACAAACACCTTCTAATTCAAACTCTAAGAATTGTTCTTAGGATGATAGCAGTCCACGCTATCCCCTCCCTCATCTCTAAACCACCTTTCATTGTTGGTCCTCTTTCTGTGGAGCTAGATAATTGTATTCTTGTTTCACTGGAAACAGCCATAAAGTGCATACAACCATCATCCTGATTCTCAGTACATATGTACATTTTCTGTTTTATTTTCATTAAATGATAGTAGGGCTTCCTAGGATAAACAATGACACACAAAGCAGATATCTACATTTTTAGGGGCTCCTGGATGGCTCAGTTCGTAATGAATTAACTCTTGATCTTGGGGGTGTGAGTTTGAGCCCCACGTTCGGTGTAGAGATTCCTTAAAAATTACAGCTTTAAAAAGAGAGAGATCTATGTTTCTTTTAAAGTTTCTTTTATTTATTTTGAGAATGAGAGAGAGCACGCGCGAGAGAGTGAGGAAGCATGAGCAGCGGGGGGACGGAAAGAAAAAGAGAGAGAGAATCCCAAGCAGAATGTGTGCTTTCAGTGCAGAGCCTGACATGGAGCTCGATCTCATGAACCATGAAATCATGACCTGAGCCAAGCCAAGAGTCAGATACTTAACCAAGTAAGCCACCCAGGCACCTCGAGATCTACATTTAAAAAAAAATTTTTTTTTAAACGTTTATTTATTTTTGAGATAGAGAGAGACAGAGCATGAACGGGGGAGGGTCAGAGAGAGAGGGAGACACAGAATCGGAAACAGGCTCCAGGCTCTGAGCCGTCAGCACAGAGCCTGACGCGGGGCTTGAACTCACGGACCGCGAGATCATGACCTGAGCCGAAGACAGACGCTTAACCGACTGAGCCACCCAGGCGCCCCAAGATCTACATTTTTAAAGGCAGAGAATATAGAACCAAGGAGGCATATATGATATTCTATGTCAATGCTTCTCAAATTATGCAAGCATGACTGAGGTATTCTTTCCGTGACATTTTTAAAAAGATACAGGGAGGCAAATACCCTAAAGTTCTAACCAAGTTTGAAAAAGTTCCAGCTCCAAGTGTAATCTGCATAAAACTTTTCGGATGGATGAAGGGGCACACTCATGAATAGTTTATAGAAAACGTCACCCTTTTCATCTGTCACGGGCATCCATGGATTGAGGTGAGAAACAAACCTGTCAAGGTGCCATTCTTTAAATAAATTTTAAATAAATTTATTTATTTATTTATTTATTATAAATTTATTTATTCTTTAAATAAAATTTTATGTTTTTAGAGCAGTCTAGTGTTCACAGTAAAATTGAGAAGATTCTCAATTTTAATATTTTCAAGGTTTAATATTTTATAAGAAATATTAAATAACCCCAGCTCTTGTGGGCAGGTGAGGTTTGGTAGAACTTACCAGGAAGTGTTTGGCATATGTAGCCCCGCCTACTGTCACACGTGTCATCCATCCATTTTCCTGCATCCCTTGATTTCCCACCAATAATAACAACACAGTCAGCCTGTACATTTATGGAGAAAGGGGGAAAAAAAGGAGTGTGAAGCAGTAATTGTTAAATCAATTCGTTAATGAGCCAAAAAAATCCATCATTCCTAACCTCCAAATTTAATCATCCTATTTTTTTATATATTTTTTTATGTTTCATTATTTATTTGGGGGGGGAGGGGCAGAGAGAGGGGAGACACAGAATCCGAAGCAGCTCCAGGCTCTGAGCCATTAGCACAGAGCCCGATGCGGGGCTCGAACCCACAAGCCGTGAGATCATGACCTGAGCTGAAGTCAGACGCTTAACCGACTGAGCCACCCAGGTGCCCCTTCATCACCCTATTTCATTTACAGTATGTTCAGCTGCTCCTTACTTTCCATGCAACAGCTCGCACTTTCCGCGTGGATCTCTCACAGTGAACTCTTGCTATTTTTAATTAACAACCCGGTAGATTTGGGTAATTTTAGAGACAGGTCTGAGAAATTTTGCTATCAGAAATTCTATTAATCTCTATCAAAATTTAGCAACCAAATGTTAGGAGAATACAGTATCTTCTCCACATAAATTCCCCTGATTCAACCCCCAGAATAGGTGTCCTGCTGTTAAAGGGAAATAAGTATAATCTACATTTTTCATTGCTAATTTAATTTATAAAAGCATCATTATGGATTCAGAACAAATTGCTGGGGTAGAGCTAGAAAGTTTCACATCTTATTTGCGATCTTACAGGGAAGTACGCCAGGCTGGAAAGAGTTCTCTATTCTGTGTTGTGGATATGTTTGCACCATCTAGCTTCCATAGGATGGTCTATGAGCCAAAGCAAGTCATAAAGTCATGAAATCTGCACCTGCCAAATTTTCATCTCATGTCAGATGAAGATTTTGACTTATCACATGTTGGGCTTCTTGAATCTGTCAGTTCGAATAATGAGCTTCAACTCCCAGGAACTCCCCGTCCGACACGTAGATGGGCCATCATTATCATTATCATCCCTATCTTCCTCCTTAGCTCTTCTTATCTTGTTACCCTGGCTTACAGCCTGTGCTCTGCTCCAGAAAGCCTGGACACAGCAAGCATGTTTCCGCCACAAAATGCGCACGAAGAGTTCTCTCCCACCCTCTCGATCACACTGTATTTAATCCTCTCAAGTTCCTGAAATTGTAACAACACAGTCTGTGTGTTTTGATTCCATTTCCGTGCAATCGACTTTATATTTTGCGCTCAGAAAACGTCTAGAAACAAATTCGACGAAAGATGAACAGTGTTTTTTCCTGGGTGGTGAGATTACAAATTTTGTTTTTGTTGTTTCTGCTTGTCTTTAGGTTCCCAAGACAAAAAAAGAAACTTGGGCTGTAATGATTTTTGTGTGTGTGTGTGTGTGCTTTACACAAAATTCACCTCTCATCCAGAAATTGTTCCCAGCAAATCCCCTATCACTCCATTCTGCTTCATCTTCTTCAGTAAGTTTTTAGCCCTCATGTATGTAAATGAAGATTCAAGGAATTTCTCCACAGAAAACCACTAGGTACCCTACACAGAGCTACCAAATTAATAATCACAAACACGCCATTTTGATCAGATCATTTTTCTCCTCTAACCTTTTCTTGCTGCCCGTCTGACAAAGCCAAACTCACTCCTGCGGCATTTAAATTTCTCTAAATTCTGCTTTCAACATTTCAAAGTTTTCTCCTACTTTTTTTCTGTATAAAAGCCCTGCTCTACCAGAGCTATTTACTCCTGCCCAAACCCACGTGGTGCCTTTTTCTTGAAGAGTTAACTTGCTTCACTCACTTAGCATGGCCTTCCCCAACCCTCACCTAACTTCTGGATCATTGTCTCAAACCTCTTAAGGAAAAGAGCCCTCACTGATTCTTTCTCATGCTCCTTCTCTGCATCAGATGAAAGTCTCCCTATGTAAGTGTTTACTGATTAGATCACTCCGTCCCATAGTAAGTTCTTTCCTGCTAACTACACAGGGCTTTATAAGGGATCCTGACATTATACACTTGCATTCCTTACTATCTTCTTTCCCATATAAGACTTGCGGTCTAAGGGGCACCTGGGTGGCTCAGTCGGTTAAGCATCTGACTTCGGCTCAGGTCATGATCTCACGGTTCGTGGGTTGGAGCCCCGCGTCCGGCTCTGTGCTGACAGCTCAGAGCCTGGAGCCTGCTTCGGATTCTGAGTCTCCCGCGCTTTCTGCCCCTCCCCCACTCACGATCTGTCTCTGTCCCTCAAAAATGAAATGTTAAAAAAAATTAAAAAAAAAAAAAAGACTTGAGGTCTAACATAAGTGTAAGCTTCTTTAAGGTAAGAACACAGTCTTTTGCTCATGTTTTTCTCAATGCCTAGTGTGCTGTTTAATATTGACCAGTTGACTATTCAGTGATACAAGATTAAAAGCACTAAAATAAAGAAACAATCATCTGTCTCTTAGGTTAACGTACAAGAGCGCCTAGGGCACTGTTTGGCACATAGCAAGCAGTCTACAAATGGCAGCTCAGTCATGATAATGATGAGGATGGCATCTTTAGTCGTAGTAGGTACTGGGCATAAACCCTCAACACTACAAGCATCAAGAATTTACAAGCAGCTGGTACAAATAAAGTTGATAACTCTGGGCTCAAGTGCACATCATGACTACGACAGAGACCCAGAGTGGAGCCGGCTTGGCCATCCCTTGGGATCCCCACCAGCTGCCCCACGAGCTGAAGAGTTCTGAATTCAATTTATACTCCTTCTCTCAAGGCTGGCTCAGTCTGAAACACTTAAAAACTGTTAAGAATGAACCAGATCAGGGAGAACTCTGGTCGATTTTTCAAAGAAGACTCATCACTAATATGACGAAGCAGGCTGACAGTGTACGGAGAGGTGACCTGAAACGGATATTTACATCTTCGTAGGACAGACTGCTCCTTCTCCCACCAGGGTAACCTTTCCCCCAGTTTGTATAATGAACTCCTCGACCATCCGTCCACAGGAACGTGTGCTCTGAATTCACATCATTCAGCCCAGTCCAGGCGTTAAACTTGGAGTCCTTCATGTGATAGGTGAGAAATGCTGAAAGAAAAGTTGCACAAGATACTTTTAAAACCTGGGGGGGGAAATACTCCACATACGGAAAGTATTCAAAATACAGAATTTTAAAATACTGAATCCATGATTAACATCTTCATTGTTTAAAAGTACTTACCATGAAAACAAACACAGTCTAACCTTAAAATCACTTTATCGTTTCAGTTTTGTACTTTGGCAAGTTTTGCGTCATACGGGTCTAGGTTCTTCTCCGGGCCAGGGCAGATAGCTGTCTGGGCTGTGCCCTGACCAATGGCAGTGAGGAAAGGGTGGCTCAAGCCCATCCCATGCACGGCTCTCCGTTCCATACACCCCAATCTGGGGGTGAACTGCCTGCCTTCTGCAGGAAGAGGTGTTGTTTCTAATTCATACACATCCATCTTATGAGTTATCGGGTGTCGTGATTTTTTTAAATAAGATGATCTAATTATAATAACTAGGGGGCAAAGAGAGCTCTTAATCCAGAAAATTTCTGAAAATGAAAACTACTTGTCAAAACGAGAAGCGTGAGGCTGTCAAATTCTCGCTACTTTGGGTTTCCGAGCCCAAAGAACTACCCAATTGAAACTCCTTCTGGGCAGCAACTGCTAGGGGTCAGGGGCCATCCGCTAAGTGTGCTTGGACCCAGGGGGGTAACTGGATGCTAAGCACTCACGTCATTAGGAGAGAAGATCCAGAACAATTCAGAGAACGAAGAACAAATGTGGCCTTTTGCTTCTTTGCCAATTCTGTGGCAGTGAGAGAGGATGGGGGCAAATATTCAGAAGCTGGAAAAGGCTGAAAGGCACAGGTGCCCCAACCCCTGTCCACTTGCCCTTCCTCACGCCTCCCACACCGCGTGGCCACCTTCCACAGCTAGCAACCTCCCAGCCAGGAGTCGTGGTTGCCCAGGTGGATGAACACCGACTCTCCAGAACAATTTCCACACCCTTACGCTTGAACACGACTCCTGAATGCAAAGAGGATACTGACTGACTGTGCACTGGGGTTTTACTAAAAAATGCAAAATAGAGAGAAGCCCAAAGAGACACAACGATCTGTTTATTCGTGAACAAGTAATTCCATGGAAGGGCTACTACTCCATGGTTATTCTGCCGAGTAGCAGAGGCAGTGAGTACTCAGCTCAGAGATTTTTGCTTATTTCTCAACTAAAGGTAAAAAAAAAAAAAATTTTTTTTTTCTTCCAACATTTTTCAGAGAGAGAAGAGAGCATGGCAAGGTATTTACTTTGGTTTTATTTTATTTCCTAAACAAGATAATAACCTTTCCCAACCCCAACTTGAAATAATGTGGAAAAGAACTAACTACCTGCCAGTGTTTTAGTCCTGACTTCTTTTTCTGCCAACAACCACAAATAAGAATTCAACAACGTGTGCTTGCTTTGCCAGGAATAATGTTATTTTATCTGAAAATTGTTTCCTTCTGCACGTCTCTATTACCCAGGTTCTAATTCTGTTATGCCAGGAATCAGCACTTTGTGGTTAAGAGAAGAAGTCAATTATTGTGTTTCTCCGCCGGGTAGCTAAGCCCAAAATGTGGTAGGCCAGTTAGAGAAATATGAATATTATATTCTTAAATTTTTTTTATTGTGTGCTATGGTTTGACCCTTTTCTTTCCGTGTCTGGAAAGTTGCTGCACTTGACAAAGGTTCTGAGCGAAACCCTGGTTGATTTATCATATAATATGATAATATGTTCCAAGAGAGCACACGGCAGCCTTTATGGAATAAAGTAAACATTTGAGAGAGTACCATTTGGGTTCCTGTGTCTTTCTTCTTTCTTATATTTTCTGAGATGTACCATGATTTTGGAAGTCAAAGGATTTCAGAACCAAGAGGGAACTTAGAAATTATCTAGTGCCTCATCTCCCCCTTAACAACCCACATAAATTCATTCATACAAACATTTATTAAACATCTTTCATGCTATGTACCAATCAATATGTAGACTATATGCTAGAGTCTATAGCATCCAAATAAGAACTTTCCAATGTAAGCATTTTCACAGTCCTTTAGAGAATTCGCAAAGCAGCCCATTTAATTAGTTCCTTTTTTTTTTTTAATGTTCATTTATTTTTGAGAGACAGAGCAAGCAGGGGAGGGACAGAGGATCCAAAGCAGTGTGCCCAATGTGGGGCTCGAACCCACGAACCTTGAGATCATGACCCAAGCCAAAGTCTGACACTCAACCAACTAAGCCACCCAGACGCCCCTAATCCGTTCTAATTCTTAGAATGGCCTCCCAATTTTGAGCCTAGGCCTATTTCTTTATAATTGCCATTCATTGGTGTCAAATCTTCCTTCCAGAACCACACGGGTCCATATCCTGTCTTTTTCAGGCTGTGAAAGATGAAGGTCTTTCAAACATGCCTCACTTGCTGCCTGCGGTGGCTTCCAAATCCTCCAGCAATTTGGTTTCTTCATCTGGCTGGCCTGTCAGTGGCCAGCATCCTCCTTAAAGTGGTGGCTCACTTATTTAACTTAGTATCTATTTCAGGTAAGGTGGCCATGAAGAGACCATGCGAAAGTAGTCAAGCGTCTTTCTCTTGTCAACAGTATAATAAGTTTTAACAATCCGCTCAATGGATATGACGCGTTTTTCCCTTCATTGTTCTTCAAAGCAGTTGTTCACCCTTATGTTTTATTAAAAATTTTTTCTCAATTTGTTCAAAGTTCATATCTAAAAATTAGTTTTAGTGCATTTAAAAATGTTTTTTATTGATGTTTATTTACTTATTTGTTAAAAAAATTTTTTTAAGGTTTATTCATTTTTCAGAGACAGAGAGACAGAACGTGAGCAGGGGAGGAGCAGAGAGAGAGAGAGAGACAGAATCCGAATTCAGACAGGCCTGGAGCCTGCTTCAGACTCTGTGTCTCCCTCTCTCTGCCCTCCCCTGCCCACACTCTGTCTCTCTCTGTCTCAAAAATAAATACACATTGGGGCGCCTGGGTGGCTCAGTCGGTTAGGCATCCTACTTCAGCTCAGGTCATGATCTCACTGTCTGTGGGTTCAGGCCCCACATCGGGCTCTGTGCTGACAGCTCAGAGCCTGGAGCCTGTTTTGGATTCTGTCTCCCTCTCTCTCTGCTCCTCCTCTGCTCACGCTCTCTCTGTCTCTGAAAAAATGAATAAACCTTAAAAAAACTTTTTTAAATAAATAAATAAGTAAATAAACATCAATAGAAAAACATTATAATTTCCATTTACTGCTCTAGGGGTAGTTCTAGGAGTGAAAGTAGAGAGTAGTTCTAGGAGTGAACTTTCTAGGAGTTAATTTTAACAATTTTCCATTTCACTCCTAGAACTACTCTCTACTTTGGCTCTTTGGGGAACAAACTGGCTTGGTGGAAAAAGAATAGCGTCTAAGTGGGAAAAGCCAGTTTGACTCCCAACCCTCCTGCTTACCAGCAGACTGCCTGAACACAAATCACAAATGGGCTGATGATAACCTACTTCACAGAGTTGCCGTTAACAATGAAAAGGGACTTTTTTTGTTTTTAATTTGAGAGAGAGAGAGAGCATGCATGAGAGCAGGGGAGAGGGGCCGAGGAAGAGAGAAGGAAAGGGAATCTTAAGCAGGCTCCATGGTTAGTGTGCAGCCTGATCCGGGTCTCAACCCCACAACCCTGGGATCACGACCTGAGCTAAAATCAAGAGTCAGAGGCTCAACTGACTGAGCCACCCAGGTGCCCCAAAAGGGACTTTCTATGTTAAATGCCCAGCAGGCTCCCTACAACTGAAAAATAGTTCTCCATATGTGTTTGGGTTTTCTCCCCTGCCTCGTCAAAAACCAAAATATGATTTACTATCATCAGCGGGAAAATGTTACATATTGAAGCGCATCACTGATTGTACAATGGTCTGCATACCTTGTTCTTTGTCATTGCGGATCGATACCAGATTGCCCCCAAATCCTATGCAAGCTTTTCGTGCCTCTTGCCAATTTTTTCTTTCTTCTTCAACAAATCCAAAGATTTTGAAACACTTGGAGGGAAGAAAAAAATAGGGACTAAGTCAAGATAATAGCGTTTGCCCTAAAGAAATTTAAATTATTCATGCAGATCGACGCTAAATATACATTTTCTCATCACCCAACAGAGATCCAGAAGGTTAAGTTAGTTTCATCACCCACGGACTTCCTTTGCAAAGTGTGTTTTCTTCCTTGTAACAAAGGGCACATCTATCTGGATCCTTCAAGCATACTCTCAATTTCCACAGGGAATTTGACACAGGAACCTTCATCTATTCTTGCCTAAAATTTTCTCAAGGGACTAGGTAAGCGGAAGTTAACTTTCAGCTGAAAAGTTTGCACTGTCACTCTCCACATCGATGGACGCCAAGACTACCGCTAATGGTTTTCGTACCTTGTTATTGTAAAAATTCCAGCCTTCCTTACAACCTCCTGGGACTGCAGGCACGGTAGGAATGACCGTGGCATTGATGCTGCTGTTGTGACGCTGGCAGATGAAGGCATTTGGATAACCACAATTAATGTCATTCCAAAACCCTGGCAGAGGACAAAACAGCTAAATTAGATTTACATATTTGCATTTAAAAACACTCTTTTTTAAATAAAATGCCTTATGTTTTGTACGGATTCTCAGAAATGGCTTAGATTACAACACCATTTTTACACAAGTAACTAGAAAGATCTATGCCGTACCCTTTTGTTCTTTCACTTAAACTAACAATAGTTCAGCTTTATTTTATTTTATTTTGTTGTTTTATTTTAGAGAGAGAGAGCACAAGCGGGAGAGAGGGGCAGAGGGAGAAAGAGAGACAAAGAATCTTAAGCAGGCTACCCGCTCAGCATGGAGCCTGATGTGGGGGCTTGATCCCACAACCCTGGGATCGTGACCTGTGCCAAAATCAAGAGTCAGACACTTAAATGGCTGAGCCACTCAGGCGTCCCGATAATAGCTCAACTTTATGGAGAGCTTCCTACGAGCCCAGAATAAACTTGATGTTGCAGATATATTACCTAAACAGCCATTAACAGCTAAAGATAATAATCTAATCGTATCTAAACTTACAGATACCAAGCATTTGTTTAGTGGTTTAGAAATATCATATCTTTAATTATCTCAACAACACAAAAGTTCTGGTCACTATTCTCATTTTACAGACAAAGATGTGGAGAGAGATAATGGAGACAGATAAACCCTCTGGATATTCTGCTCAAATCAAAACATAAAAAAAAAATGTTTCCTAAAATAAGTGACAGGATAGTGTTCTTTATTAGAGCACATGTGAAGCACACATTCTCCTCGCCAACTAAGCCAACTAACAGTTACGTCGCTGAGACTTAAAGTATTTCTTCTGCTTTTCTTGCCTGACGTAAGGGCACAACTTGCTACTCTTAGGCTAGGGATGTAGCAAAAGACACATCGCACCATGAGGCAGATTCAAGACGATGGTTATGTTGCCTACCTGAATTTGAATACATGGTCACACAATTTTCATCGTCGTTTGCAAAATTCGGTTCACCTGTGGCCCAAGACACATAATCCACTTTGCTTCCGTCCATCCAACTGAAAGAGAAAATTCAGGCCCTTAGCAATAATAATCCAAACATCGGGATAATTGGTTACAGCCTAGCGTGAGGGAACACCTGAGTCAGTGAAGATGCACAGAGCACACGATTGGAAGCAAACAGAAGAGAGGATTCTAGAAAGACTAGCAGGAAAACTCTGAGGAGCCGGTGATTCCCGAGCCATTGTGCTCCTCTGCGGCAACCCAGGGCTTTGGACAGTCTGTCTTCTTTTCCCTCCCTGGAAGAAGCTACCTTTAGTCTTGAAGCGAGAGAGGAAATGGAGGTCCCAGTTGCTCTGGAAGTAGCCAGAAGCAAACATCTCTCGCAGTGCTGATTAGACAGGATTCCCACAAAAGAAAACCACCCATAGAGAGAGACGGAGCATTGAGACTTTCTCGTTAAGGCCCATTCTGTGATTTTTGTGTTTATTCTAGGTTTCTCCCAGGGTATGCAGGCCAATGCTTATTTTATACAAATTACAGAAATTCAGAGACTGTTAGCTGGGAAGAGAGCAAGAGATCATCGAATCCGACCCTCTCATTTTAGAGATGATTAAAACGGATGCTTGTCCAGGGGCACCTGGGTGGCTCAGTCGGTTAAGCGTCCGACTTCGGCTCGGGTCATGATCTCACGGTTTGTGAGTTCGAGCCCTGCATCGGGCTCTGTGCTGACAGCCTGGAGCCTGCTTCGGATTCTGTGTCTCCTTCTCTCTCTGCCCCTCTCCCACTTGTGCTCTGTCTATGTCTCTCAAAATATAAATAAATGTTAAAAAAAAAAAAATAAAACAAAAACGGGGGCTTGTCCAAAGAAGCATCAAACATTTCTGATCTTTAAAATTAAGGAGTGTGAGTTTGGGTCTCTGTTTACTCAAAAATGGCAATAAGGGTCAAGCGGAACATATGTGGCTAACACGTCTGCACACGAGCCAGGAAGATATATCTTTCTTCAAACTTAGGAGAACATGTGTATTCATGAACAAGGAAAGAAACCCCAAAAATGTGCTAATTTCCTCCCTCTCGTAGCTTTTCCTGGCCCCTGTATCTAATGGAAAACAGTACAGTCATTCCTTTGGAAGGAAAGCATTTCATGCAGTTGAAAGGGTATTTCCAAGTAGGGCTGTTAAAGCAGTGAGTGGGGCGACATAGAAGGGCGGTTTAATTCTGTGCACCAAGGATGGTCCAAGTGGGAATCGTAATTTTAACGGTAAAGTCGGTACTCATATACGCAGCACGTATCTCCTTAGCAGGTGACTTACTAACATGTGATGACATCCTAAAACAAAAATAGGCGGAGTTTTGCACGATTAAATCAGACTTTGAATTGTTTACTTGAGAATTATGATATTCAAAATATTTAACTGGATTTTAAGAAATTCTTTTGCTTTCTTTTTAAGACGCTTTTTAGATTGAGAGCTCAGCAGGATTTTTTTTATAGATATATATACATCTTTATTTTTTATTTTTTTTAATATATGAAATTTATTGTCAACTTGGTTTCCATACAACACCCGGTGCTCATCCCAAAATAAGCCCTCTTCAATGCCTATCACCTAGTCAGCAGGATTTTTAAAAATGCGTTCAGCAAAGCCGAAGTCTCAAAATAACTGTGAGATGTTTATCAGATCCTCCTCTGAAGCAAAGTTGTCTTTATTTTGATGTACTTACATAAACTTTTTATCCAAGCTGATCAATAAGCCAATAAAATATGCTGGTTGTGCATCATTCCTATTTACCTAAAAGATGGAAGTTGACATATAGTTCAATCCATACTTACATAATAAGAAAATTCTTAAACAAAACATACTTAGTAATGAGGCAGCCCATTTGGGTTGTTTTCTAAGGAGGGATTCATGCAGAAATTTTGTGGTATATTCAAAGTTACATTTTTCATAGAAATAGAAAAAAAAATATTGGGGCACTTGGCTGCCTCAGCCAGAAGAGCATGTGACTGACTCTTGATCTTGGGGTCCTGAGTTTGCACCCCAAATTGGGGGTAGAGATTACTTCAATAAACTTTTCTAGTTTTTTTTTACTTAAAAAATTTTTTTTAATGTTTATCTCTTTTTAAGAGACAGAGAGACAGAGCATGAGCAGGGGAGGGAGGGGCAGAGAAAGAGGGAGACACAGAATCCAAAGCAGGCTCCAGGCTCTGAGCTGTCAGCACAGAGCCCAGCATGGGGCTCGAACCCATGAACTGTGAGATCATGACACTAGTCAAAGTTGGACACCGAATGAGCCACCCAGGCGTACCTTAAATTAACTTTTTTTAAAAAAAAGGAAAAAGAAAGGGGCACCTGGGTGGCTCAGTCAGTTGAGCGTCCAACTTTGGCTCAGGTCATGATCTCGCAGTTCATGGGTTTGAGCCACACACCGGGCTCTGTGCTGACAGCTCAGAGCCTAGAGCCTGCTTCAGATTCTGTGTCTCCGCCCCTCCCCCTTTGCCCCACTCCTGCTTGTGCTCTGTGTCTCTCTGTCATTCAAACATGAATAAACATTAAAATTTTTTTAAAAAAGAAAAAGAAAAATATGCATACTATATATGAACCTGAATTTATAAAGCAAATACCTTCAGTCATTTTCTGCAATAGCAAATGCCTATAGCGATTAGGTTGTTGGAGATATTCTTTAAAACAAAGTAACCATTTGGTATTTTGCATCTAAGGAAAGACTTTGTCCACACATATATTTGTGCAATATTAGGAAATATCCTAAAAAGTTCAAACCAAAATATATCCACAAAGATAAAGATAGGTCAGGCTACACTGGAATACCTTTGTAAGCAAATGATTTTTTATTCTTTCATTATATTCAACTTATTTTTTTCTGCTTTCCCTCTTACCTCCTTTCTGACAAGCAACAAGGATGCCATGATGATTTGTAAAGAGAAATATTAAGCCAATACCTTTGGAAAACAATAAACTATAGCTTCACTGTTATAATTTTGGAAGAACCAAGATTTTTATATGAATAATCAAGCTTTACGTTTAACAACAATTTGGTCCAACTAAGATAGATTTGTAAATTAACAATCAACCTAAACTAAACCAGAGGGTCCAGGATTGATACATAACAACTAGTTAAGAATTATAATCTCTGAAAATCCAGTTGGTGAACTCAAAGTCATCACATATGGGTCCTTACCAAGCCGAGACTAAAAACTGCTTCTGGATGCTATGATTCTGCATTGAATATCTAAGCAATGAGGTCATTCCTTTCTGTTATGGCCACCACCCACCTCTCCTCTGGCATTCATGTCTTCCCCTGACCTTAGAAACTTGAAATTTAGCCCCTCATTTGAAATTGCACCACAGGATACAATCCACAGGTAGTGGATATTATCTTTGCTTATCACATGTCACTGTTTCATTCTTAAATTAATCATATTCTTACATATTTCCATAGAAACTTCTTTTTACTTTCACTCTGAATAGAAACAAGATCACCGAAGTTCCTCCTGCAAAATGCTCGGGCGTTGTCCATGGTCTCCTTTTCTTTGCTAAAGTAATACTGGTAGTCTTTGTAGATAACCCACCCATCTTCGGTGACTGGCGGATCTGAAAAATGAATGGAAAAGGGTGATGAATTTTCCCTCGACAAATTCAAGAATCTCGTACGTGTGCCGCACCAAAGTAAAAAGGGCAGAGTAGCTTTGTCAGAGGTATCAGCAAGTCTGAGAGCCCAGAATAAGCAGGATATTTATGCCCAACACAGACTGAATTACCTAAGGGCAGAGATCCACTCTGCACCAGATCTGGAACTCTATCTTATCCATTAAGTCCTATGTATCATCATTGGGTAAAAGAACTCCGAGTGCTACTTTCATCAAAGGGATCACATAGCAAACACAACTTATATACCTGGACCTATGATGTTCTGAGTTCAAGAAGTGAAAGCTGTGAGAAATCAGTTGCATTCTTATACACCAATAATGAAGCAACAGAAAGAGAAATCAAGGAATCGATCCCATTTACAGTTGCACCAAAACCCATAAAATACCTAGAAACAAATCTACCCGAAGAAGTGAAACATCTTGATTAAAATCGTGGTTGATCATGATTAAATTCAGGGTCTTTAGATGGAGCCATTATCCTAGATTATCTGGGTGGGCCCTAATGTAATCGCAAGTATCCTTAAAGAGGGAGATCTGATTGCAGAAGAAGAAAGCCACGTGACAAAAGAAGCAAGATTGCTACATTGCTGGTTTTTCAGGGTGCAGGAGGGGGGACACAAGCTAACTTTAAGGGATGCAGTTCTAGAAGGTGGTAAAGACAAGGAATCAGATTCTCCCCTAGAACCACGGGAGGAAGCATGGCCTTACCAATTTTGGCCCAGTGAAACTGAGCTCCTGTTTCTGACCTCCAGACCTGTAAGGGGGAATAAATGTGCTTTGCTTGAAGCCACCAACTTCGTGGTAATTTGTTACAGCAGCCATGGGGAACTAATAGAGTACTAAAGAGAAAACCTGGGCCCTTGGGTTTGATTCAAGAGCCCTTGACACAGTGTATTAAAATGCTTTGCTTTTGTGCCTATGAGCATTTGTCTGGAGGAAACGATCCATACTCCCACAAGGTTCTCAGAGATATTAAGAACTCTGTTCTTCCTGGGTGAAAGAAAGGAAAGGAAAGAGCAAAAAAGGCTATCAGTGTGGAGATCACGAAATAAGGAAACACCTACTGTCTTGAGGAGCTGGTGTTGGCTCAGGTTTTGGTGTTTGTCCTGGAAAACAAAAGAAAACCAGATTATAAAGTGTGCATGAACTTCCGCAATCATATCTCCTTCTAATTTTCCTATTTTCGTGGGTCAAAACAGCTTAAAATGTAGCTCTTCCTTCTCTCCCTCTCTTCTACTCCTCAATTGCCCTAGCATGTTGTAGAGGAGAAGAATGAAGGCTAAGAGAATTAGTACAGTAATAGCCACTAGAAATTGGAAGACACTTTTCAGACCCAACAAATAGTGTCATCAAAAGGGAAGAAAGGAACACGAGTTTTAGAATCAGAAAGCCTAGTTTCAAATCAAACTGGGGTTTAAATTGCCTACCTTCAACTCTGTCAACTGCTAAAAGGAGTTAGTAGTATGTGTAAAGGGGTAGGATAAATTATGTGCATTATTGGTATGTAGAAGATATTTAATAAATGTCAGGGTGACAATTACACATTTTATAATGAGCCGTGGACTTACTTAAAATTTCATTATTTGAAACCATTAAAGATACACTATTTACTTATAAAATTTTTTTTCCAAAGAATATTATGTTTATTAAATGTATCTTATCCTAAAAGTTAAATGAAATATTTTTCTTTCCAAGGAGTTAATGATATATCTGGACTTCATTGGAATCTGATAAAAGGAATCAGGTTACCCAGCTTTTGGCTTAATGTAGTTAACATCTGGAAGAACAGAGTTACTAATAACATGTAAGGAAACTTACGTAGTCATTGGTAGCTAGGAGACTTCTAAAGAAAAACTGGCCACTCTTTATTCCTCTACTCTGAAAACTTTGAAAGCACTCATCTATGCAGGAGTGAGGAAAACAAGCAGACAGCAAGAGAGCAACCCAGGGTCTCTAGCAGTGGATTTGGGACAGTAGCCAAAGTTCTCCAACAGCAGAGGGCAATGTGGTTCCACAAACTGTTTTAAAATGAGGAAGATTATGTATATTGTGGTTCAAGGGAAGGTCTGTTTGCTCCTTTATCTTAACAGAAGAACCTGGATCCTCTGACCTCAGTGCCTGACTTGGATATGTGGAACTTTCTGAGTCCCAGATCATGACTTAAAGTATACACTGATAACTTTTTGACAATCATAAACGTAGTGGCTATAATAGCATCAGGGCCCCAAAATGGTGTTTGTTCTTTGTGTTGAATATTTATTTAAGAAATCAACATTTAGAATATTCGGATGTTGGGAAACTTTTACCTACTGGATGGCTAACATAGGTCAGAGGGTGAATATACCAAAGAAGAAACAGCATGCGTATTACTCTACTTACAGGGTAGAACGCCCACCAACTCCCACCCCTGTAGAACCTGAGCCAGAATCACAGCTCGTGGGAACTATTTTAGAGGACGTGACTGTCATCCAGGATTCCCGGGTGGCCTTTTGATCTTCTGTTCCTTTGGAACATTTATCTGTGCTCAGTGACTTCATTCTTATCCTGTGAAATGATGGCCCCTGCCAGTTCCCTTATTTGGTTATTTTGTCTGTTTGGTTCTGCTAATAAAAGGAAAACACTGGGATATCAGGAGGTTAGTTCTCCAGTGTGAGATAGAATAGAGGACAGGTTACCATACCTTTTTGTATCTGGCAAATCCAGTTGTTAAGATGTTCACAGTTAATATCATTCCAGGACATACCAGAGTCACCTTTCAACTCGCCACAGTATTCAACATTTTGATAATTATTAGGTTCTCCATAAGCCCAATTTTCATATGAAACCTATGTCAGAAACATTACATCGCAATCATTAATTACGTACGTCATTTAAATCAGGCCATTGGCAATCATTTATCTAAACAAAAGAAAGAAAGGGAAGGTATATTAACATTTTTTAATCCATCCACTTTTTTTGCAATAGCTTTGTTTTGAAAGCAAGGTTTATGAAAATGGATTGGAAAGAAATAGCTTTCACTACACGGAAACTTTCAAAGATGAATAGAATATGCTATTATTATAACATTTTCTTTGGTCTTATTGATAGAATGGATCCAGGGCCTTGAAAGTGGGATTTCTATATAGGAAAAACCCAGCAAAAAAGCTCCACTTGTCAGTATTGGGTGTTCCTAAATCTCTAACCCATTCTTAAGTGGTAATATTTCAGTGTGATGTTGGAAACTTTCTCTTTATAGGTAGGATAGAGAAATATAATTAGTTTTTATAATAAAAGAAAAAGACTTACGAAATGCCGTTAACAAAGCTACATAACTCCGCCTAAAAGAACAGTGGAAATAAATGGAGGGCTGGGTGTAGAACCCCTTGCAGGTTTCAGTGTAGAATCATACCCAACAGAGTTTTAGGCTAAGCATTTTCCAGAAATATCAATATGAAATCCAAGTGTCAGTGGAGCTATCAAAGAAATGACCATACTCAAGTGCCTTAAAAAGTTGCTGGTGGGTTATAAGAGGAGGTAGAACTGAAATTACACAAAATCACTTCCTTGGATGACCAGACCACTAAATACTGCCAACACGTGTCACAGCCTCACACTTCCCCATTCTTAGGAATGGGGAAGGTTGACAAGGCCCAATGGTTATTAATGGATTCTCAAAAATTGTTTCCAGATCTCTTGCTCTATAAGAAGCTATAAAACACTCAACTTTTTATATTAAGTTTTAAATTTTAATTCCAGTATAGTTAACATACAGTGTTATATTTGTTTCGGGTATACAATATAGTGACTCAACAGTTCTATACATTATTCAGTGCTCATCATGGTAAGTGCACTCTTAATCCCCTTCACCTATCTCACCCACCTCGCTCCCCTCTAGAAACCATCAGTTTGTTCTCTATAGTTAAGAGTCCATTTCTTGATTTGCCTCTCTCTTTTTTCCTTTGCTCATTTGTTTTGTTTCTTGAATTCCACATATGAGTGAAATCATATGATATTTGTCTTTCTCTGACTGACTTATTTCAGCCAGAATTATATTCTCTAGCTCCATTCATGTTGTTACAGATGGCAAGATTTCATTCGTTTTTATGGCTGAATAATATTCTGGAATTTTATGGCTGAATAAACATAAATGTTGATGGGCACTTGGGCTGCTTCCATAGTTTAGCTATTGTAAATAATGCTGCAATAAACACAGGGGTACAGGCACACCTATGAATTAGTGTTTTTGTGTTTTGGGGTTAAATACCCAGTAGTGCAATTACTGAGTTATATGGTAGTTCTATTTTTAAGTTTCTTAAAAAGTATTTATTTTTTGGGAGAGCACAAGCCACGGGGGGGGGCAGAGAGAGGGGGACAGAGAATCCAAAGCAGGCTCTGTGCTGACGGGAGGGAGCCTGATGTGGGGCTCAAACTCAAAAAATGCAAGATCATGACCTGAGCCAAAGTCTGACACTCAACTGACTGAGCCACCCAGGTACCCCTATTTTTAGCTTTTTGAGGATCGTCCATACTGTTTTCCACAGGGGCTGTATCAGTTTGCATTCCTACCAACAGTGCACAAGGGTTCCTTTTTCTCTGCATCCTCACCAACACTTGTTTAAAACTCAATTTCTGGGGCACTTGGGTGGCTCAGTTGGTTGAGTGTCTGACTTTTGACTCTGGCTCAGGTCATAATCCCAGGGTCGTGAGATCAGACCCCATATCAGGCTCCATGCTCAGCTTGCTTAAGATTCTCTGTCTTTCTCCCCCTGCCCCTCTCCCCCACCCACGCTCTCACTAAAAAATAAAAATAAAATAAAAATTTAAAAATACCAAACTTTTAAGAAGTTTAACTACTTGCACACCAATTTTGCCTGATAGAATGAAAGCATTATTTTATTCAAGCTACCTAAATGAGTTTTCTAAAATTTTTTTTTAATCCAGCCAGTTATGCTTATACCTTGGGTGAACAGAACTAAATTAGGGCAGGGAAAGAATAATGATCCTAGAATTGGATTTATTTTTGCATAGAAAAATGTTACTAGCTATCATAAAAACACATTTCACCAAAGACTTGGATTAAGCCAAAGGGTAACATCGAAATAAATACATGATAAAGTGAGAAAACAATGTATCAAATCATATTACTCACAGGAGAACCGTCACTCCAAACAAAGCCCTCTGAAGGACTTCCATACGTAAGTCCCAACCAAAACAGTTCATGGTACGTCCCGGTAGCCCTGCAATTTACAAGACATAAAGAGAGCTCATACTATTGGATGAAACAAGTCTGGTTACTTAACGAGATTTCTATGGTTACCTAATGAGACAGATATGAGAGCTAATCAAATTTGAAAGTTGTCTTTGAAACCTAAATTAGTACACAGGTAAAAAGATGCAATGACTATAAGCAGTATGCAACTGCGTGTTTTGGTACAGCCCATGAATATCCTCAAAAGGAGCCACCACTTGAGAATATATCATTATAAAGCACTGCAAGAAAGTCATTCATTTATTCACTTAATAACATGTACTTTCATAGAGTAATTCATATCATTCGATAAAATTAAAGCATTTGTAAGTGAAACTAGATAAAAAAAAGCTCTTATGGATTTGGGATATAATACAGCCACTCAAGGTAGCATTATGAGTCAACAATTTCAGAAATGTAAGACTTTTCTCAACATCAGAGCATCAAATAGGTAAAAGGAATATTATATACAAAAGACACTTACGCTATTAATCGCCATATTGCTTGCTGTTCCTCTTTATTATTGATACTAGCTAGATCACCACCCAGAGCTTTACAAAAATCTCGAGATTCAAACCATGTTTTCTTCTCGTGTTTTCCTTTTGCAAACAGCTAAAGATGATATAGTTTCAGAAGTTATTTTATACTTCATAGCTTATCAAATCAAGAGAAATAATTATTTACTTTTGATGAGATTTCATTTTATAGAAAGACACTGCTATGGTGTAAAACAATGTAATTCTCTTGGTGGAAAATCAATGTAGGAGTACGTATTTGGGTAACAAAACATGTGGGGTGGTTTTGTTGAGAAAACCTTAGAAAATAAAAATACTTCATAGCACAGAAGAAATTAGATTAAAGTCTTAGAAGTTTGATGCATTTGGCAGAATTAATTTGGTTAGATGGGAAAAGTAGCATTGAAATGAGAAAGAAAAAAACACTTTTGATACAGGAAAAGTAAGGAAGGAAAACTTCAAAAAACAAAAATTGTGGCATAGTTTGTTATCCTGCCTAGCTTGAACAAACACCTGACAGTCTCAATATCTCATTGCTTGTGTCCTTTACAATGGCCTTGTCTTTTTTTCCTTCCAGCTGCATTAAATTGTAATAGATTATATAAGTTAGGGAATATCTTCTATTATCCAGAGGGCTACAGTGAAATGGAATTCCAGACTAAGAAATACCTATCAGTATGCAAATAGTATAGGAGTCCGTTGTATCCATCAACTTTTATAATTTTCATTCACTATTTCTCATGAGTCATGCTCCCCACCATTACAGGCTTGTGGGAAATGGGGTTGGCTTCCAATGGACTAGGGCTGCCCAGCCATCACCAAGCAACCCAAGGCAATCTTCACCTTGACCCTAACTTGAGCTCTCTGGACAGAAGTGCCTTGAGCAAGCTTCCACATCATTAACTCCCAAGACTCTGTGGGCACTGCAACCTGCTAGACTATGATATAAGACTTCGTTTTCTTAAATAAATTTACTATCACCTGAATTTTATTAATAGTTCCCACATCTTAATATGTACAAAGACGGTCTATATATTTCCAAACAAACGTACATAAGCACCTCTAAAACTCTATAATTTTCTAATGAAGCACATATTTCAATGTGTTGAATATCCACCAGGATAGCATCTCTACCAGAACCCTCATTCACTTCCCAGCTCTGGAGAATTCTGCCACGTCTCGCAAAATCCTGCTACAAATCTCCATAGCCTACCACCCCCAGGTGAATGGCTGTGTATAGGACGAGCCTGGCCTTTGTGTAGTACACCAAAACTTTCCAGATGCAACAATGAACACCTGATTTGCTTTGTATTAGTCCTCAATTAGCCCATTTCCAAAATCCTCTCTTGCCTTGGCCCAATGCATCCCCTTCTATGTAAATTATGCATTTAGCCCTGACCTGCTAATCAGGATTGAACAAGTATTTAGCAATCTCCACTGTCAGTAGTGGGAATGACTAACCCAACTACCCACACCCCTTGAGTTACAGAAGACTAAACAGCCTCATTCTGATACACATTAGTAATTCAAGTTTTCCCTCAGCCTTACCTAACTGTCTTACAAGGCACACCATGGCCACATGCGACCAAAGGGTCTGAATAAAAGAGGTCCTGGGAGTGGGACGCTAAAGAACAATATCATTAAGGGGTCGAAAAGCACATTTCTGTATGTGACCAAATCCAACTTTCTCAAGAAAGGATATGACCTACAAGAGTGAAAAAAAAAAAAAAAAAAAGACCCAAATGCATAATTCACTGAGGTTTTTTTCTGTTTGTTTCGGTCAACTTGACTGCATAAGGAGAAAATGGACGGTGTGAACTTGGAAGGTATAAAATGAGAGCAGGATATCAACTCGTCATTTAAAGGACACGGAACAGCCACGTGCCCCTACTTGGTAACGCTCTCATCGCCCATCGGGCATAACCACCGGGGGAGGGGGTGCTAAATCACAACAATGGAGCATCACCTGCTAGATGACCATTTGGCATTAATGTAGACTCTGCTTTCAGTGCAATTACCTAAAAGCTTGGGCTCTGAGACCAGGGCAAAATGGGACGTATGGGATAGCATGAGGGGAAACAGATATTTTCATGAAAAGTGCAAGCTCAGAGGAGGGCAAGGCAGCCTGGGGGGGGGGGGGGGGGACAGTGGGAGGGTGACGAAGCAGAGCGCGTGAAGAAAGCTGCTGTGAGTCGTGTTTGCAGCTCCAAATGCAACCGGTCATTAGCATGTACCCGAGGGGAGCTTTTGAAAACACAGAAGCCCAGCTCCCCTTCCAGATTCAGAGAATTAGACTTTCTACAGGGAGAGCCTGAGCACCACGGTTTGGGGCTCCGTTTTAATTCCTCGCGTGACTTTTGAGGCTGAAACGCAGTCCACATTCTTTCTTAGCTTAGCAGATGACAGTCACCTTGAAACACAAGCTCGTTTTACTGCTGGCGCCCCATTCCTCCGGACATTTGGGTTCGGGAGTTGTTGTGGGCTCTGGTGGGCGAGTTACTCCCTCGGCCCAGTGTTTGCACACAAATTTTGCTTTCTCTTCGCATCTCACAACATCCCACAAGCCCCCTGCAAGTCCAGTTCTCATGACGACACATCCTGCTTTTCGCCCTGTATTCAATACATAAAGGAAAATTCACTTAGCAGGAGCTACTGCCGGCCGGCCCCGCTCGCAGGTCAGACCCGAGGGTCACCCAGGGCCACACGCTCCTCAGGTGAAGAGAAGATATAGAGGAGAAATTACGGCCGCATTTGGCAACTCCTTTCTACTATTTTGAACTGTTGGTGACCTTTTATTTGTGTGGCCAAAATCCCTAACAGAATTATGAGCTCAGACGTCAGGGTTCTGATAGCATTTCGTGTTTCTAACATCGGGCAGGGTGCCCCCCACGTAGGTACTTAATGATACAATAATTTCAGTAGAACAAAATTTACCATAATGGCAAAAACAGGGGGGTTCATGGGTTTTTTTTTTCTTTTTTTAAGAAAACGTTTCTAAGAGTCCCCTCCTCCACCCCACAGGCCTTGGGGGTCTCTCAGGACAGAAATTCATCACATACTTCAAAGGGAGACACAAGTGAGCTAGAGATTTTCGTTATTCGTTGAATACTCAACTACACTTGAACTTGCTTCCTTATCTCACAAGGCAAATATCACCACCTACTTTACAGAGTAGTGATGAGCGCCGGCTTTCAAGGATCAAAAAAGCATAGACAATGGGGACTATAATCAGCTTAATACTTTACAAATCTGTTTTACAGGTGTGATTATTTCCAAATAGTAATTCATTCAGAAAGAACTTTGAAAATAGTAGGAGTCTTTGCTGGAGTGAGATGTCCTCTTACTGTTCCTTTAACGGACATTAAGCGTCTAGAGAGAAACCTCAAAGTTCTAGGGAGGCGCATCTTTTTCAAAACATTTTCTCTAAGATCTCTGATTCCCTATGGCTCTGATTTCATCCATTTTTGTTCCCTAGGGACATTCCAGGATTAAGCTTTCAGAGTCCCACTGCTGAAGGAGCAACACGAGGAAAATGAAAGAAAGAGTAGGGCCTAGAAGTAAAAATTACCATTACCACTCCGACCGATACTTAACAACAACAACAACAACAACAACAACAACAACAAAAGTGTATAGTCAGCTCTTATTCTCCTGCCCAGTTAATTTAAAAATAAACTGAAATCGTTGGGGCTCCTGGGTAGCTCAGTCAGTTGAGCATCTGAGTTCAGCTCAGGTCATGATCTCCCATTAGTGAGCTTGAGCCCCGCATCAGGCTTTGTGCTGACAGCTCGGAGCCTGGAGCCTGCTTCGGATTCTGTGTCTCCCTCTCTCTGCTCCTTCCCCCACTTGTACTCTGTCTCTCTCTCAAAAATAAAGGAAGATTACAAAAAAAAAATTTTTTTTAATAAAAATAAACTGAAATCGTATTGTTTTCAGAACATTCAAGAACTCACCAAGAATCACACTATCCAAATTACTGTCCTATTTTCCTTATTTGTCAATAATTTGAGAATACAAATTAAAAGAACTTCTGAAGATCAGGATTTATTAAGCCACGTAGTAAATCCAGGCGCTTGAGCGAACAGTCTTGCTTTAGCGTTTAGCCCAGACACAACAAAACATTTGCTCTGGAGGATGCGGCATTTCTGCGCGGTGTCATGCCCCTGAAACATACTAATATTTCCACTCATCTCTGCAAGGCCAAACTTTAAATCCCTTTAATATAGTTTTAAGTTTACAAACATAAGTTAACTGTCTGGAATGTCTGTGGTTATTTAGGATTTCATACATATTTTTCAAACAGACCAATACCAGACAACTACTAGTTTTACTTCCCTGTTTTCTTAGACGACTGTGAACTAATTACAAATGTTAGGGGCGCCTGGGTGGCTCAGTCGGTTAAGCGTCTGACTTCGGCTCAGATCATGATCTCACGGTCAGTGAGTTCGAGCCCTGTGTCGGGCTCTGCGCCGACAACTCAGAGCCTGGAGCCTGGAGCCTGTTTCAGATTCTGTGTCTCCCTCTCTCTCTGATCCTCCCCTGTTCATGCTCTGTCTCTCTCGTTCTCAAAAATAAATAAATGTTAAAAAAATTTTTTTAAAGAAAATTTTAAGAAAGAAAGAAAAAGCAAAAGAGAATGAAATACAAAATGCTGCAAGCACAATTAATCTACGCAGTATATTTGGAAAGGTACATGGAGGGCTAATAGGCTTTGCCCAATGGACTTGTAGGGTGAATGAAAACCTCACCTCCAAGCAATGCTCATACCTGGCATATCTGAATTCCAGTGGGTGAACTGAACCTTTTCCTCAATGGTCCACTGAAAGGTGCCTTTGTTTTGTACATCTGAAAGTCCTGTCCAAAAATATCTTTCAGGCCTCAATCCAACCAAACTAGTTAGAAATGCTTGTTCATATCTTAAAAGAAAAAAATTAACTAAAATTTAGAAATGTGAGTTTTTCCAAACAGCAACACGAAAAGCATGTCAATTACATGTGTGAGCTATGATTTAGTTGGTACTTCAAACATATTGTGTTTTAAGTTATATGCCATTTAAATTATACAAATTTCTACTAAGGAAATGAGGGGGGACTATCATGGAGCTGAATGAATAAAATCAAATATACTCAAATCATTTCTGTCCACTCCTCACCAGCCCCTCGGCCCCTCCCCAAAATCTAAGAGAATTCTGCAAAGGCAAAGGAGAAAACTATAGCATTCTCAGATACACTGTTTAAAAAAGTAGTCCACTTTCCAACTATTTCAAATGCCCGACACAGTTCTTGGGTAAGTAAATCCCGAGGTCGTAACGTTATCAAAGATGATACAGACAGAAAAATCCGTGTGGATTACCCCTCAAATTTTATTCTCTTCCCTCAGGTCTGAAACAGAAGAGAAAATTATTGAGGAATACGGAGAAGCAGAGATTCGATCTGTAGAAAGAAGTAGGAGAAGAATCACAATTTCCAAAGGTTTTCTTTGGATCTCATCTCTTTGGCATCATCTAATGACCCAATTTGGTTTGTAAAGCAACCAAAGTTGATCTTAACAGATAAAACATTAAACAATGAGGCAGCAATGTAGGCAAAAATTTTTCTTCGGAGCAAAAGAGAAGTGAAAAAAGTGATGTTCACAGTTTCCAGGATAACGGAATGTTTACTTCTCACAATTGAATAATTTCATTCTCACAACTGTACAAAGAAAAAATGTTTAAAGTCCTAAACCCAATTTCTCCCAAAAGTCTAGAAACAAAATTTAAGCACAGAGTTACTGAGCTCCCGAATAGAAATGTAGACAATACAAAGGAAAACAAACCTAAAATATAGGGAAATTTCTGCTCCAATAAACCAAAAGATCAATAAACCAACTCATCAATTGATCAGTCAGGATCAATGTGCACTCAGTGAAGATCAGAACAGTAGCATTCTTTACCTTTTATCAGGTGTGCCTTAAGAAGCAATGAATAAAACTTATTGTATTAAAACTATGTCTTGACCTGTTTTATAACAAATCAAATGCACATTTTAAAAAAAAAATTTTTTTTAACGTTTATTTATTTTTGAGACAGAGAGAGACAGAGCATGAACAGGGGAGGGGCAGAGAGAGAGGGAGACACAGAATCCGAAACAGGCTCCAGGCTCTGAGCTGTCAGCACAGTGCCTGATGCAGGGCTCGAACTCACGGACCGTGAGATCATGACCTGAGCCGAAGTCAGACGCTTAACCGACCGAGCCACCCAGGTGCCCCTCAAATGCACATTTTTAAATTTCGTGGGGCGCCTGAGTGGCTCAGTCGGTTGAGCGTCCCACTTCGGCTCAGGTCATGACCTTACGGTTTGTGAGTTCGAGCCCTGCATCAGGCACTGTGCTGACAGTTCAGAGCCTGGAGCCTGCTTCGGATTCTGTGTCTCCCCCTCTCTCTACCCCTCCTCCTCTCATGCTCTGTTTCTCTCTCTTTCCCTCTCAAAAATAAGTACACATTAAAAGAAAATTCTTTAGGGGCGCCTGGGTGGCGCAGTCGGTTGGGCGTCCGACTTCAGCCAGGTCACGATCTCGCGGTCCGTGAGTTCGAGCCCCGCGTCAGGCTCTGGGCTGATGGCTCGGAGCCTGGAGCCTGTTTCCAATTCTGTGTCTCCCTCTCTCTCTGCCCCTCCCCCGTTCATGCTCTGTCTCTCTCTGTCCCAAAAATAAATAAACGTTGAAAAAAAAAAAAGAAAAAAAAATTAAAAAAAAAAAAAGAAAATTCTTTAAGTTTCTTCTGTGTCTAATCCAGTGCTTTGTGAAGATTAAGGGAAAAATAAATAAAAACTAAAACTTCAAAGATGTTTGGTACTCTAGAGGTCCAAAGTTACATAAAAGCCTCTACATTCATGTGATTTTTCTGGACGTATCGGTCTAGCAAAACCAGCAAAGAAAAGAAAAGAAAATGAACAGAAGAATGTAAAGGAATAATAAAATATTCAGTGAATCTCTCTACCCTTTTTTTGGCGGAGACGGTGGTAAAGATAGAAAGTGGCCTTTGTGAACCAATAAATTGTACTTTTTCTGCTTTAAAAAAATTGGTATATACTCGATCAGAAAAAACGTTAGGCCCATAAACTATGTTCGCGAGAACATTACTTTTCTGAAATGAAATTATATGATTCATATAATAACATAATGAAAGTTTGTTACTGAATATTGCTTTCAAGTTCTAAAAGGAGCAAAAGATTTTATAGCACTTACAATGAAGAGTCCAATAGGATATGATTTTCTTTTTTTTTTTCTTTTTTTTTTT